TGCGTGGGCGGGTTATTTGCGTGGGCGGGTTATATGGGTGAAAATACGGTACTTCCTGGGCCATTATTTATTATTTAACTTTTAATAGTACTATTTTCATTCATACAAGTGTTCTGCAAACAGCAAATAAAGTTATTTTATGGCTGGCCAATTCAATACAAGTAAATGAAATCACTTGAGTGAAGAACCCAATTTGGGGTACACTTCTATCTGCTGTTTGTATGAAGTTTTCTTTAAAAAGTAATTTGTGCCAGGAAGAAATACTATTCAAAATAGTGAAGCCATATATTTTTATACAAGTTACATTAAAATTCCAATGATTTCCAAACAGTTGCTAAACGTGATTCAAATAGTTGAATAGTTTACAACCAGGTTCCCTCAAGGACTACTTCTGCTTCACAATACTTTCTTGATCACAAAGGACTTCACTAAAGTTCTCTGCTACATCATACTGAAGGCGGAAGTACATTTTTGTGGGAATGAAGCAAAGGGATTTTAAGAAGTCAGATCTAACCTCTGGAATATCCTTTCCTGACAAGTTGTTGGGCAAAATCTTTGGCCCATGCAAAGCTCCAAAATGACACATTCTAGAAAAATAGTCTATATAACAAAAATTAGACACTGATATACAGAAAGAATAAATAGAAAGAGTGGAGTGAACTTTTCTGATGGTTATATACATTGAAAAATGCTACACTATTTTGCCTCACTGCCTATCTACCAAATGAAACAATAGCATGATTATTTAGCTTTGTTAAAATAATGACTATAGACTATTTTGAGCTTTCTCTTTGCTATATCACAATCATGTCTGTCTTACTATTAGCTAGAAAGACAAATAACAGTGCCTTTTATGTTTTTAGAACTGGATGTGGGGGGAATGGGCATTATTTTGTTTTCATTTGCTTTCTTATTTCTTCCCAGCAAGTTTGGGGAAATATGTACTTATTAAGAATACATTAAAATACATTTTGTCCCAGTTGCCTGACAACTCTAACTCTAACCCTAGAGAGATACACTGACTATTACAAATCTATTTACAAATGCTTGTATCAACCTCTAAATCATGTCTGTTCATCTTATGGTTTCATATTTTGAGAAGTTGCTGCAACATTATTTTGATTGTCCGGAATTTTCATCATCATAGCTATTGGAATCAAACAAATATTATATTAAGCTATAATATGGCTTGGACTTTCTGGCTTAGTGTGAATTCATCCAGTAGTGCCTTTTTCCATAAAGCAGAACAAAGTAAACCATGGCTTGTCACTACACATAAATGCAGTTGCAATGTATGCTATTCTTCCTGTAATTTTAAAATCAACAGACATTTCAGAATCCTTAGATTTGGGTATGACAGAACAATGTTGAGATAAAGTATTTAAAAAAGAAAGAGGAAAAGAAAATCAAGTACTAAATTCAAAGTAGGCAGCATTCTGTCTAGTCTCACACTTTTCTTTATTCAGATAAAATCATTTAAATGTCAACAAATCTGCTAAGGAAGATGAAATTGCTCCAGGCTAATTTTCCTACTTCCTCTTAATTATACCTATAGAGTGCTTTGTGATAAAACGTATTTACAAATAGAAAACAGCTCCAATGACTGCTACAACAGAACTTGTTGTCAAACAGTTCAATGCTTGAATAACCTCAATGTATTAGACCTCGGATGTGTTGGACTATATCATACCTAACAGTCTATCAGTTCTAACCAGAAAAATTAGTTTCCTGGTTGGAAGTTATAAGAAATGCAATAAGCCCTTCGTCTTTCAGAACTCTATGCCCATGTCCTTTCATCATGTTTCCCTAATATACCTGAAGGGAATCAGAATGAATAAATCTGATTTACAAGAAAGAAATGTAATGTTATATCAAAACTATCTTTCTTCAACCTGCTCCTTTTCAGCTGTGACAGAGTACTTCAATCTCCAGTAGCTAACTGGCCAGAATTGATGGAAATTCTATCTAGGGCATGTTATGTTTTATACATTAGACATTCAGTAATAACCTTCAATTTTAAAAAAATCAGATTAAATCTGTTGTACAGGATCAGTTACTCTGAACATCAATAGCTTTACTTTAAAACACCCTACCAGGGACAAACAAATCCCAAGTCTTTTGTTAGGATAATGCCTCTCCTGTGAAAAACTAGATTACCTCCATAGATATCCGTCTGTGTATCCTGTTCCTGAGACAAACACCTGTTGGGGATTGAACTTCATCAGATGATGTTCCAGAAGCTTGGTCACTTTCACCATCTGATCCCATTTTTAGGTTTTCGTGTACAATATCTAAATTGAACAAAACCAATAATTATTTAACTGATACTTGAGAAAGGACTTTCCATCACCCTCAGTGATAGTTCTCCGGCTTTAATGCAACTCTCTGTCAGTAGAGAGCATACCAACTTTCTCTCTGTTATTCTTTGGCAGGTGACAAATAGATTTTTATTTAGACACATTTTTACTAATTCAACTGGTTTCTCTGCTGCGGTAGATTTTAAAGTTTTACCTGTAGTTGTTAGTGCACTTTTATACATTACTTTTATTTGTTCTTTTATCTGTATTTTATTGTCAGTCACTCAGATTATCTTTGAAAAAACAAAATATAAATTCAAATTGAATTACAGATTATTAGTACTTTGGAATTATAAAATGTTAATTCGGTTACAACACTTTTGTCCTATCCAGTATCATTAACTGATAATTGATCTTTCTTTAATTTCATAATTAAAAAAAAAACAAAAGCAGTAATGTACTCTTGATACAGCAAGAAAAAATCAGCTGTATTAAATTAAAATAGATGTAAAATTCTAATCTTCCAAACATTCAATTTAAAAGAAGGCATTTATTAAGAGATGATAAGAAAGAGAACTTGAATTTAGATAAATGTTTGGTGACAGACATCTTCAAATAGCATTGGTCATTTGCCAATAACTACAATATTTGTTACAGTAAATATCAAATTCAAGCTGCTAAAAATGTTCTTCCCTGAACAACAGAAGAAAATGGCAAAAAATTTAACATTTTTCTAATAAGAAGTACCTGGTCTCTTTGATTAGCTGCTATATGTACCTTTTAGATATAACATTGATTGGAAAATAGATGACATATTTGGGGGGAGTTTGACCAAAGTTCAGCCATCATATTTCTAAATTTAGCAAACTAGTTTGCAAACAAGTTTTGCAAAATAATTCAAGTTATACTGTAGAAATATCCAATTACATGGTAATCATTTCACCTCTTCCTACCCTCTGCACCTTTCCTCTTATCATCTCACAACGCTCTCCTTTCAATTCTTCCATTTTAGGGAGGACTCTATGAGTCTTTGGAACACTTCACTGACCTCCAGCTACCCATAATCTTTATTTCCAGAAAAGGAAAAGGTTTTGGGTCCTGAGAGGGCCAGACACATTCTGTGAAGTAAAAATGGCAAATAGCCACAGACAAGCAACTTCACTTTGAAACATTTCCTCCCATCCAACTCCCGCAGAGAGAGTTATCATTGGGCACTTTCTACAAACAAGTTGTTCCACATTAATTTCCAATATATGTTAGATTAAACTATTAAAAAAAACCTGTCTGAAGGAGATGAGCAGTTAAGAAATATGAAAAATAAATAAATAATACAGGACCATTAAAGATTTTTGGTATTTTTTATGTACATCAGTACCACCAGTTACTAATAAATAGCATTTCAAAGGACATTAAATTTGGATGAAGTATAATGCAGCTAAAAAAAGTGTAATAAAATAGGATAGTCTTGCATATATGACAATATGCATTTTAATAAGATATATAGGAAACACTGAGAAAGATGAAGACATTGTTTGAAAAGGTCACCTATAGATGTTTTGTTTTCAGAGCTAATGTTCAAGGCACCAAAATTTTTAATCATTCAGTTTTTAAGTATACAAAAGAGACTTCTGTGACTAATGGTGTTTATTTTTACATTACAGTTCTGAAGCTCACAGCTCATCAGAAGTGACAATTGTCTTCTGAGATGGATTTGCTTTGGTCTACAGAATTGCAAAAAAATAATCTGTAATCCCATATAAGCTTTTATTTACTTGAAAAGAAAAAATGATTTTTAAATTAAAAAAGAGTACTGCACAGTAAAAATAATTCAAATTAGGCAAAAAATCTCTTTCTTAAAGCTTATTTAACACAACTGCCTGAATGAATTAAGTTACAGATGCAGGAAATGGGCCAGACCAATCTTTACATCTCTTCTTATCAGATAAAACAATACTCTGTTCACAAGAAATGTTTCTATGTCACAAGCTTATTGACATAAAAAGTACACCTCTGGGAAACCTAATTCAGACAAAGAACAGGCAAGTCTGTCAGTTAATTTTTCTGTAAGGATAGGAAGAAGACCTGATGCACTCATGAATATTTAAGCAATGTGCCATGGATACAGTAACATAAATCCATATAATTGATTTAGACAACAATATAATTGAAAACGGATGGTTTGCTGATAGATATAGGAAAGAGACTGGATTGGCTATGAGCTTTGGGCAAGCAGATTTTCACAGCTGTCAGTTCAAGCTAATGAGCTCATGGTACCCTGTATTATCTTTTCTTCCCACTTAGGAAAGCCATTCATAAATGTTTATCATATGAATGGGAAAAGAAACTGAAAATAAGATTGTTGCTGTAGCAATGTCCATATAGAAACTTAAGATACCACTACTCTTTATATACTGTGTGCAGTTTGGATCAACATACTTGCAAAAGGACACATGAAAGTGAAACTAGAGTAGCATACTTTCAAGAAATTACTAGAAGGGGGAATAGAAGATTGATAAAGGAATAGCTCTTTATATTTAAATGTTGAGTATTTTTTGGCATAAGATGCCGTGCTGGGTTCAAGTCCTGGAGGATCTGATTTTAATTTATCACCTTTATGTGACAAAACGAGAAAAGGCTTGCAGGCATTCTTTCCATTGCTCTACTCATATTTTGGAACAGCCTTCTTTAAAATAATGATTTGTCCCTTCTTTCCTTAAATTACTTAAAAAAATGAATTTCATTGGGGAACTGCGAAGGAATGAGTTGAAGCTACTGGTTGATTGTGTAATTATTTGTTAATTTGAGTATCTGTTAATGTGTAATTTTGTAAAACATGTTGATTGTTTATATACTATAGCTGTTCCTTGTAATTTACTGGGTCAATGTAAATGGCCAAGTGTCATTTTTGATTGTAGCGGGGAAATCTAATAAACAAATAAATAGATTCGTGGTAAATTGAGCATGAATCACTATTAATTTTGATGTCTGGACAGACTTTACTGAATAAGAATCATACAATAAGCAACAGCTGTTAGGTTGTAACACTGGAGAACTGTCACTGTTTTGTAAGACTGTCTCTACTTGTGAGCTTCCTAAGTACACTGAATGGCTAATGTCCAACAGAAAATGTTGAAAAATGTACTCTTGACCTGAAGCAGCAGGAGGAGAATTAAAACCCAGCTGTTGTGGTACTAGCACAATGTGGAGTTTGGATTGTTTCCTGGTTTATTTAGTTATTCAGCAAGGTACCATACAATTCTTCTAATATCATAGCCATCATATTTGAAATCTCTGCTTTACACCATTTGATATGCAATGAACATATCTAATATCTTAATTTGGAGCTGGTATTACCCAGGACTGTTATATTACAGTTATTATAACATGAAGGTAAGAAAAAAAAAATGAGAGCCCTATTAATTTAAAGGATATAAAAAATGCACATTACCTAATCTGCTCCCATTTCTTGGCATTGCCATAAAAGAACCCAGACTGCCCCCTATAACGCTGTGTGGTCGTCGTAATGGAGGCTTTTTGAAGGATCCTGTATACTGATGAAGAAATGAGTGCATGCTGTGTGATGTTGGAGGTCTGCCATTCTTCACAATGGGTTCTATGATTTGCCAGCACCAGCCAATTCATCCCGCAACAGAGAAATTCAGCAACATGTTGAGAAAGAAAAGAGTAAAATCACCATATAGCCATATTTGGAGCACTCATGTAAATTGTCTAGAAGCAGATTATTAACTTTTCTTTGGAGCATAGGACACATTTCTCAACTATCTTCCCTACCTACTCCCTCCTCAGCCATGATGCCTGACAAATGGAAAGATCCTCTTCTCTGGTGCTGGATCAGTTGTAGTGAAAATCACCTGTAATGGGTTGACTAAGAGAGCGCTAAAAGGACAGGATTGTTTTGTCGATTTAAAGTACACCAGTGTCTTTAATATTAAAAAAAGCTTTAAGTAATGAGAAAGAAAAGCTCTGATTGGATTTTAGTTACCAAATATATATTGAAGCCGTATCATACACCATCAAATTTACTAAAGTTGATACACAGGTGCATGGCAAGAATTCCTAAATTAAATGGCTGAAACTTGTACTGATGAAAATTTTAAAGTGTTACAGAGGATACCAAATGAGTAAAGGTTAATTTGGGTACAAAATGGTCAAGGAAAGGGAAAAGAATGGGAAATATAATGATATGAAAAAAGAGAGGAAGTGTTGTGACAGTAGCTTTCATTTTGTTCCTCATATATTCCCATAACTATTAATTATACTATTTATAGAGAAAAAAACATGAAGATATTAGCATTCTGCTTAACAACAGGTAGCATATAATGAATCACATGTTAATACCACATTTTGTACTGTCTTGCATTTGATAGTGCTCCAAAACATTGTGAAACATAGGGAGTTTGGCGGTGTGTGTGTGTGTGTGTGTCCTTGGTGCTCTCTGAACGCGACTGCTTGTAGATGTTTCATTACCCAAACTAGGCAACATCATCAGTGCATTGGCACTGTAATACAATTTGAGTAATGAAATGTCGGCAAGAAAACAACCAAGCACACCACGGATCCCTCATTTCAATCCTGAGCTACAAATATTTTCTTCTATCGGTACATAGAAAATTAATAGGAGCATTCAACCATTTGCAAACCTTTGTGAAAATCTTCTGATGGCTACATAATGTTAACAGAGTTTATAAAGAGACACTTCCTATTGCTCAACCACAATCCATTTGTGTTCATTTAAGAATAATGTTTAGCAACTCCTCTTCTTTTTTCTGAAGCAAGCCATAGGGTGGTCTCTCAGGCATCCTATATTTTAGGTGACTCTCATAATAGCTTTGGTTAGAATCAGAGTGAGTTCCAGTGCTCCCAAAACATAATGTTTAGTCAGCATTTTCCATATAAAAACACTCTAATAGGAATTGGAAGAATTCCCTCTTGTAATCTGACAATGCATACTCAAAATCAAAAGGTAGAAGGAACAGAAATAGCTATATTTGACAGTAATAGTCATCATCATCATCACTATCACCATCATCACCATAATTTGATGATGCTGATATCAGTGTAGTCAAGATTGGTATTTTATTCTTTCTGAAGTTTTAGACAACTACAGTCAGGGAATTCTAGATAATTTCTAGATTTGATAATAAGGGACTCGCTTGTCAGATATGTGGGTATTTCACTGCTCATATAAGACATGAGAAACAATCATGAGTAAGATGTGAAAGCTTGGAAAAAATAGAATAAGCAATTTTCTCCCATATACTTGCTTTATTTTTTCCAGTTCTAAATTTAAAAATTTCCCCTTCTTTGCAAAGGTCTCAATCTATGGTTTGAATACTTCATATATTTTACAATATTTGTAACACATCCCCACCCTAACAGTCTCTGAGTGGAGTACAACAAAATAAATCACAAAAGACAAATACAAAAATAAAAGCTCAATATAAATAAATCAATTAATGCATAGTTATTTATTTACTGTATATCCTGAAATTATTATTATTTATTTTTATAAATAACTTAAGTCAGCAAACATACCTAATATTCCTTCTGCCTCTTATTTTCCCCACAACAATTCGGTGGGGTGAGCTGGACTGAGAAAGAGTGACTGATCCAAGGCTCAGATGTTTTTCATGCTCGGACCAGAATTTATAATTTCCTGGTCTTAATCTTATGCCTTAACTACTAGACCAAAAAGCAAAATAATCTAATCTAATCATCTAATCTAATCTAATGCACATTGATTTAACTTGTTTATGAAATGCCAGCTGGTACAGTCATTTGTATCTCTTGCAAGAGGGCATTTCATAAAATGAGAGCTACCAAGAGAATATTACTATCAATGGGTCTATGCTCCATGTATCTTATTAGGATTGGAGATCTGCACCACATCCTCATTTGATGACCCAGTGGATGGGTTCAATTCTGCTATATAGTATTTATATATGTTGGAGCTATCCCACAAACTGCTTTAGAAATTTTTAAAAAATTGGCATCATTAAGTGAAATGTAAACTTTATGTGGCGTCATTTCCTTACACTTTGTATGTAGCTTCTTGTCTAATGCCTTGTGATGAATTCTCATATGGAGCAAGTCACAACTCCCCAAAGGAAGAGGATGTCTACACACAATTTAATCTATCTGGAAAAGAAGCAAAACTGTGTCCATATGATACATGAGTAGTTACTAGGTAATAACAATTGTTTGCAGTGAGGGACTGATTTGGTAACCCTGCTCTCACTTTATTCATAAGAGAGGAACAAAGGAGGCAGCAGATCTTAGGTGAACAGCATTTTCACTCAATTCAAAATGAAGCAGTTGCTTAGGAACAAGATGAGGAAGCATTTTATATAACAAGATCATGAATTAAACCCTTTTGCAGTAGAAAGATGTGGAAGCTTTACCAAACTTTCTTTTTGTAGTGTATTGTTATTTGTGAAGTATTATGTATGTCTATTGAATCACTTTCAAAATAAAGGGCAATGATGCCTGTAGCAGAACATAGCACTGCAATATGAAATCTATTTTGAGACATATAGGCAGGGTGCACTCAAACAATAAACTGGTCCATAATTTGCCGTAAAATAAATCCCAACGACATTATTTAATGTTAATCTGAAACAATTTTAACATGAGTCCTATCCTGTATAATGTTTTTGGTTACTAAAACAACATGCATGTTGTAGTAATTGTAAACCTCCTTTAATTTTGGAATAAAAAGAAAGATGCTGATATTAAACTCAATAATAATCAAAAGCTTATTATACTTTGTGAATCATAATACACAAATCTTATAGTATACATTGTTAGTTTGCCACAATCTTATTTTTGTTACAAAACAAAATTGCATGGCACCTCCTCTGAATACAAAAAGTCTTCAATTTATGTCCAATCATTTAATTTTTCAGTTACAAGAGTACTGAAAAACATGAATTATGGACAGATTTTGCACTTATAACTGTAGCAGTGGCCCCGCAGCCACATGATAAAAATTCAGACACTCAACAACCAGCAGGTATTTATGGCTGTTGCAGTGTCCCAGGGTCACGTGATTGTCATTGAAAACTTCCTGGGGGTTCAATGCAACAAGCAAAGTCAACAGCTGGACCAAAGGATTGACATGGGTGGCAGAGAAGGGGAGCAATGACAGGAAATGTGTGGTGATGTAAATATACAAAATGCTGTGACTAAAGTAAGTAATCACAGCATTTGTGTGATTATGCTATCATGTACACACTGTTGTTTTGGTATCATTACAGTTTGCTGCAGATGCCAGTGGAATTCATTTGAAACAGATTTCAATGAAACATGAGTGCTGGTTTACCTTTGCAGCCAGCTACTATATGGTGGTTCAAAAAGCAGAACTTATTTTTGTACATTTCTTGAAGTACATACAACTTGGGGTACTATACCAATTTGGAAAAGACAATTTAGACGATTTTGTCAGTCAGGTGCTCAGTTCATGTTCCCACACATCCTGAAGCACCTTTTCTAAACTGAATCTGAAGCATTCCACTTTCAAATTACTTATATAGAACCTTTGAAGTACTAAGAACAGTTTAGATAATGATCACTGAAACAATGAATGTATGCATTTCTAAATATTGCACCATGTTATAAGTTAGGGTAGGGAGAAAGAAAATGTGTCTATACCTGTTAAACAAAATTAGAATTCCAAAGTTCTCCTGCAGAATTGAAAACCATTTTGTAATAATTCATATATGAAGTTGAACTAAGTAACTATGGTTTCTTTAATGTTTGTGAAATCTGATTATCCTATTCTAAATCTGGATATTACATGGAAACTCATTGTAATCTCAGGATACACTAGGTACCTATTCTATGCTGGAGCTGAACTGATAACAGTCATATTTACTTGTAGTAGTTTGTATTTCAATTGTTTCCTTTTTTCCTTTCTACATATGGTCAGATACCTAATGTTCTCTTTGCTTCTGCAATGATTCTTTTTATCTAAACAATTTCAGTTCCCATGTATGCATATTCACTTAAAATGGAATTTACAACAAGAATCTGTTCTTCGGGACATCACAGTAACAGTTCTATCTATTAACTATACAATAACTGCCTATTCTGCATATCAGTTATAATGTGACTTCTTCAAATTAATGACTTTTTCATTATTCTTTGTGCTAATTATAGTTAGTCTGGATTTTATCAGACTGATTTTCATTTATCTGTTCTGTATTAATATGAGTATTGGGTAGAGGATTTGTAACAACATTCATTAGACATCAGTCAGCAGAGATCTGGGGCATGCGGCATGTCCATATGGGAATGCATGGGGCAGGCAGAGGTTGAGGGGAGCCGGTAGTCCTGCAAGTAGCTCGGTTCTATGGTATCTAAAGCTTTAAAGGCAATAACCAGGAAACTTGAATTGCACCTGAACATCTACTGGGAGCCAATATAAGTTCATATGTGAGTAAAGGCAGGTGAGCCAATACTTTTGGCAATATAGTGTACATTTTGCATCTGTCATAGTCATTGTTTTCTTCTTTTAAATTTACAGATAACTGCACATAAATGCTAAGTATGCATTTCAAGGAAGATGTCATGTAAATTTGTACTACTCAGAGTTGCATCATTTCCTGTTCATTTAGAGATCAACTGAAACACATAATTTGACCAAGGATATTTAAACTTTCATATATAATTGTAAATGTAGGGAAGAACAGGCTGGTGAAAAAAATTAGAGAGATTTCTGCCTCTCCTATTTGAGCCTTCTCCCAAGCATCAGCATGGCAGAGTTACCTATAAAGCTGTAGCCCTGAAATAGGCAAGGTAGGAGAAATGGAGAAATGTGTGTTTTGGAAGCTTTGCAGCCAGCCACAAACAGAGAAAACAACTAAATAAAGGAATATATTTTTCCTTCACAGAAACTGAATAGCCCAAAGGAAAAAGAAGAGGCACAGCATAGCACAATGTGGGAACGTGCAAGTGCTTTATGCAGTGCCGATTAATAAAGAAGAAAAATGTAGAAGAAATCCTAGAGTGGGGGGATTTAAAGACAAACCAATCTCTCCAAGGGAAAACACTGCTCTATGGGCACTAAAAATATAGAAATAATAGTAACTGTATAATAGCTATAGTAAAAGAAATGAGAGTACGGATGATATAAAGGGAAAAGAAAGCACTCACATATACTGTAGATTTGTATTTTTCTTTTTTTGTCTGTTAAGGTTTTTTTTCCAAAAGATCTCCCTAGTCCGTCTGTCCCTGTGTTTTCTGTTTTAATCCCAGCTTTTCCATAATGGCTGGCAAACAGCCACTTGCCTAGAAATGAATTGTGACCACTACTCAGGGAAATGATTTCCATGAAATTTAGAGACTAATGAGAAGCCAATTTTACTGTACAGTTGTTTAAAAAAAGTCAACAAGAAGCTTTAGTTGACAAGATGTTATATTCCTGTTTGCAAAAATGTATCTGTTTCTGAATTGGAGCAAGATCAGGAGGACTAGGGAGGATTTTATGTAAGAGAATACTGCCCAGCAAGTAACTTGGGGGAGGGGGGGGGGCTAGAGGGCGCATATGACACAATTGATCTTTTTTTTCCCTTTTAAGCTATCACTGTAAGGCTGCTTGTTTATATGCAGAAGAGTTGCCTGGAGTGCCCAGCCAGTCACATAGCAACTGCTTGAAGAAATGAGTTCCCTTCCTTGGATTGCTCTGTGACTCCTGCAACTTACCTTTGCCTTCTTTTCAGGGCAGGCTGGCACATTTCCAAACTGTAGCAACTGATAATTCCACTTTCTAAGAATAACTGTGCAGCTTATCAGGAGACCAGAGCTCTATGTAACATATCACCCTCTTATTTCATTTAATGAAAATCAAACAAAAATGGCATAGATGAGAAAGCAACCTTGGTAGTTGCCAAGGGAAATTACAACTGAGATACACTGCCTATCTCAGAACAGGGATTTGATAACCTCCAGAGCTCTCTATTTTCCTTCAATAGATACCTAAAAAGAGGTTAATTTTATACGAATCTGTCAATGATCCTCCTTTCATCTCTAGTTTCCTCTAGGCTAGTATTACATGTGGTCCTCGACTTACAACAGTTTATTTAGTGACTGTTCAAAATTACAACAGCACTGAAAAAAGTGACATGACCGTTTTCACATGTAAGGCTGTTGCAGGATCCCCATGGTCATGGGAATCAAAAATTAGATGCTTGGCAACTAACTCGTATTTGTGATGGTTATAGTATTCCAGGGCTATGTCATCACCTTTTGCGACCCTCTGACAAACAAAGACAATGGGGAACCCAGATTCACTTAACTGTGTTACTAACTTAACAATTGCAGTGATTCACAACAACTGTGGCAAGAAAGGTCGTAAAATGGGGCAAAATCACTTAAATGTCTCACTTAGCAACATAAATTTTCTGCTCAGTTGTGTTTGTAAATTGAGGACTACCTGTACACCAGCTTTCCTTTTTAAAAATAATTTTGATTAAAATTTAAAAAAATATAATGGCAATTGGACCTAAATTCTGAAATAAAATAAAAAATAAAATAGAATAGAAAGTAAAAGAAAAGCAAAAAAGAGAAAAAAGAGGAAGAAGAATAAGAAAAAATAAGAAAAGGAGAAAAAAATATTTAAAGTAATCAGTTCTAATGTTCATCACAAGTACAAACTTAGTGATTCTTCACCCCTATAAGATTCAATGCAAGTATCTCTTTGGAATGCAAAATAGGTGGCATATAAATTTAATAGATACATAAATAGATAAATCTCCCATAACCCATTTCTTATCCATAAATCATTAACACTTCACTTCTGGTATCAGTAAAAGTCCATAAAGTTTTCCAAAGTTTTATAGAAATGTCTTATTTTAATTTTGGTCAAATAAATTTATACTTTTCCTTTGTGCTTCTAACAGTCTTGCGATTTCTTCTTTAACATCTTTTGGAAATAATCTATCCACAGTAGAAGACATCTTTGCTGACATTGTAGCTGCTAGTTTTTGTCCCCACTTAACTATCTCCTGGAGTATTTGAAATGCCATATCATTTTCTGTTCTTTTTTCCCAATGCTGATCGAAGACAAAATACAAGCCTCTTCTTTTAATTTTTCTGTTTCCTTCTGGGCCTCGAATCTTTAGTCCCCCTTGAATTAATAAAATCTTGGATGTCTGTTATAACTTCAGGTAGACTAAAATTTTGTTCCCATTAATATGCTATTTATACAATTATTTTCAAAACCTTATAGGAAAAGTTCTAATAGTCCAAATTCATCTGTTCTCTTAATTTGATTATACTTTCTTGAATTAAAGTCTTATTTAGCTTTGGTTATTCTTTTTTAAACTCATAGTTATTTTTTTAAATTCTGAAATGAAGATAAACTTATGCTTTGCAAATTTGTTATTTTGAAGAACTCTACTAGCAGTGTTCTTAAAAAGGCTCTGCAGTGGTTGAGACTATGTGGTTGAGATTATGTTGGCTTCCCTTCATCTCCGGGCACTGAAACCCTTGGGAAACCACTGTTGTTGTATGCTCTTACCATGAGAAGCAACAATCTAAAAGGATGGGAGATCTCCATTTTTCTTTTTATCTGCGAAAGTTCTGTGGGATCAATCCACTTGGTCCTTCAGTCATGACTATAATCTTGTCTCTTCCCATTCAGAGATACGCTAGCTCACCATTCATCACCTGGAAATCCAGTACTACCCCATTTTTCAAAGATTGCATGAGAAATCATACCTTTGATTTGAAAGTCTTTTAGATTTTCAAGGAACTGAATCTGAGAGACTGTATATGTACAATATGATCATTTTGCCTGAAATACATACTTCAACGAGTTATTTAAACCAATGAAAAATATACTGTACCAGCAATGATGTGCTGAGTCAGCTTGTTCATGGAAGCTGAGTATTAAATTGGATTTTGGCAAGCTGAATGAGTCACAACACCCAGCAATGGCTGGCAAAGCTGATTATCATGTTTACCAGCACATCACTGTATACCAGTGAAAGAAAGATGCACAACTTCTTTGCATTACCCATAATATATGTTTAGTGCAAAATCTTTATTTCAGCAAAGAAATTCAGACCATCTTAACTATTTGTTCTTATATATCTGTGTCATCTTAACTAGATGGAATATACTTTTCAACCCATACAATTCCATCTATTAAAGTACATAAATATCAACTTTGGACTAGTCACCATTTTATTCAGCAATACTAAACATCCAGCAGACTGCAAACATAGCTTTCACTTTTAAACTAAACTACTCTACTCTACAACTGAAATTTCAAATTGCTGCACAACACTGAAAATAAAATGCAATATGAAAAAGAGATTTAGTATTCAATACCTGAATACATCTGCTGGGCTGTAAAAATATGGATGTAGCTATGATACTAATAGGAATGGAATGATGCAGGATTTTTGCAACCCAATGTACAATTCAATATTGTTAAATAAACATAATGGAAATTTGGTAACATTCAATTAAAATATGTTCTTCAATAATAATAAACTGAACAAAACACATTAGAAATATTTTGTGAACAGCAAATATTATAATTATCCAAAATAAAAGGAATGGCTACATTAATTCCAAACTCAAAATTTATCTTGTTAAGGTAATTATTATCAATAATAACATGTTCATTTTCTAAGTACTTTACAAAAATAATAAATGTGGTGCCTGTACTTACCGTTATCTTTGTTGCTGTTCTCTTCAATTGTCATTTGTTCAGCCAGTTCAGAAAGTGACTCATCAATAGTCTGACTCCCACGCAGTGTTAAAGAAAGTCTTCTCTTAAACTTTTTCATTCTACCAGCTATAAGCCTGGCTTGAGAAAGCCTATAAAAAAAAAACAGTGCAAACTGTATTTATCTGAGTTTAAAGGAATTATTAACTAAATTTATACGCCACCTGACTACCAGCAATTCATTGTAGCTAAAAGAAAACTATTTCCATAATCAGGAAAAATATATTTTTGTTGCTTTTATCTATCAATATGTAGCAATAGCAATAGCAATAGCAGTAGACTTATATACCGCTTCATAGGCCTTTCAGGCCTCTCTAAGCGGTTTACAGAGAGTCAGCATATTGCCCCCAACAATCTGGGTCCTCATTTTACCCACCTCGGAAGGATGGAAGGCTGAGTCAACCCTGAGCCGGTGAGATTTGAACCGCTGAACTGCTGATCTAGCAGTAGCCTGCAGTGCTGCATTTATGTACAATAATTGCTTAATAAGATAAATCTCTACAATGGTTAATGTATTTGAAAATAACTGGAAAAGTAAAAAATAACATCAAAGAAGGAGGACATACCCTTAGAAAGATAACAGAATTTGAAATACTTATATAGAACTGACAATTTAGTAGGATGTATTTATAGTTGATACTTAAATATGATCTGGAGACTGGACAACTTAAAAATTGCATGATAAAATGGATGTAAAACTATAGGAAAAAAGTCAATACAATTTACACTAAACTACAATTTGAAGCAAAATTGGTACAAAATATTCTACACATGCTATAACTGTCCATGATTGCCAAGATGAACAAATCACACCACAATAAATACTAGAAATGCCACAATAAAGGAACATTGACTCAAAGAAACATACAAAACCTACAGAAAATTCTGAAAATAAGATTAAAATTAAAACCACACATATTTTATTAGGTATAATCACAGAAATGTAAACAAAAAGCTTCATAATTTATTAAGATGTATGCTGACAGTGCCAAGAATTAATCTGATACAACATTAGAAAAGAGAAACCGTGCCAACAATATAAGAATGGGAGACTAAAAGAATATGCAGCAATGAAATATTCACATATTCACAGCAAAATGATGGAGTTAACATTTAGGAGTAGATGCTGTTTTTATTTCAAGTGATAACAGCATTAGTAGCATATAAAAGCACACATTTTACCCAAAGTAAAATAATCATTATCGATAAAACATTTATTAATCTGACAAAAATACATAACATTTTAAATAGATGGATGGATGGATGTACATATGCATGCATATAGCCATACCCATACTAGGCCATACACATCATTCGACTCTATAAGATGCCACCCTATGTGAACTGCTTAAACTACCTTTGTGAGAAAACATTTATAGCAAGCTGAAGTGACTCTATGTGGTGGCAGAAAGGAGAATCAGACAGAAACCAAGTGGCCTAGTAAACCACAACATTCATATTTACTAGCCGTATTTCAAAAATAATACAATAGCAACCATGCTGACCTAATACATAGAAGAATGTCGCAGGATTTCCAGAGAAAAAGCAATTTCTGTTTCGTCCACAATATAAATGATGTAGTTGCCTGCTGAGAAATCCAGTTTGGTCTAATAGTGAAGGTACTGGGGCTATGAATGAGGAACTAAATTCTAATCGTAACTTAGGTCTGGAAATCAGCTGGGTGACTTTGAGTAGTCACTCCCTCTTATCTCTAGAAGGAAATGGCAACTACTGCTGAAAATGTTGTCAAGAAAATTGCAAGGACTTGTCCAAGTAATTCTCAGGAGTAAAAAAATTGCTTTGAAGTTGAGTCATTGACCTAATTAAAACCTGTCTGATTCAAGCTTCCAATAGGAGACATCTGTCCCTTCCCTGCAGTGCCCTGCTTAAGAGAGAGAGAGATAGATCAGAAAGAGGATGAGGGAGACAAAACTAAAATTTCAGAAAGAATAGGGTGGATGTCCCAATTCACTTTTTTCTCTGCCCTTTGCTACTATTTACTTCAGTATCCCCTCAAAGGAATGTATTTTTTGATGGCCACAAGGTTTTCTTAATCTCTGTTCAAACTTTTATAAAATCCTTATTGTTTGCTATCATTATCTCAGACTAAAGAAGCAAGAGCTGTACATTAGTGCTAAAGCCCAAAGAAAATGCTAATCTCCTAAAAATGTCAAAATTTAGTTCACTACTTTATCCGTGTATATATAGTGCCACTGAACTTACTGTTTTTATTGTTATCTACGATCTCTCCCCAAGCATAGCTTTGTGTGTAGCTTTCTTAAATACATTTTGCTTTGTAGAATGAAACATGAATGACAGACACAAGTGGATATTATGTAGATTACTGTTATATGGTATGCTTCAATGGATTCCATTTTGATGGACCATGCAATTTTTGGTTCTAAAAGAAACTTCTTTTACATCCCTTTCCATTTCCCGGCCAACTTCCACCACAAAATGCTAGCAGAAACAAAAAGCAAGCCCACACACAATTTTATGGATTGTAGCCTGAGCTGCATTTAATCATCAATCTGTAAGAGGGTATGAGTCAGTGTGCACTTCTAGAAAAGTACTCAGTTTCTATATTGCTTCCAATTTCTTTCACTAGCTCTTAAAAGTTAACAGCAGAGTCAAGTCATTCTTAGCTATCAAACTTCTATCAGAAGGCAGTTGTTTGTTAAATTTGAAAACATCCACAGCTACTCTTCTACTTTCAGAAAGGTAAATTACAAGCATTTCAAAAAAGAAAAGACAGCAACTTCCACAAAGAATTATATATAATTTGATTTTTCTATCTTTCATGATGTAAAAATCATACTTTATCTAACCTTCTGACTACAGAATTTAGTTTTCAAATGCTACTAAAATGATTAGAATTTTTTAAAAACCATATCAGAAATAATCAAGAGTAGATGCTATCAATAAAGTTCATTCTTATTCAAAATCTCTATCAAATAACACACTTTTCTTACCACTGGTTCTACCTCTTCCATACTAAAATATTTGTAATTTTTACACCAATCAAAAAATCAAAAGGATGAATGGAAACTCTTAAAACATTCCTGAATAACACTCAAATTTCTGATATTTAAATATCAAAGGTAGATAATCAACATAGATGTTCTTAAAAGGATAATAAAATTAAGGCTAGTAGTGTCCTATAATGTATGAGAAAAGAATAACCTAATCAATAATTGAATGCCTGTGTAATATGTCAAGAAATTGTGGCATCAGCAACGGAACTCTGGAAAAAACTTTATAGACACAGATTTCTGATGATGTCACAGTTCCAATGGAGTATGGAGTATGTTTTCAATAAGAAATGATTTTTAACACCTTACTGATGAATTATTCTTCGGGAATAATTGGAAATGACTGGAGTGCATTTCAATTTTTACAACAAACATGTAGATTATTAGTGAAATGCAACTTTCTACTTATTGAAAATAGTTTTCTGTGTTTTTCTTGGCTTTCCACTTATCTGGTATGTCTTGTGCTAATTTGGGGTTGGTTTGGACATAGTCTCTCTCTAAATAGAAGAAGATACAACAGAATAACAGATAGGAAAGCCCCCCACCCCACCTCCAGAAAAGCAATCCCTGCACCTAAATATTAACATTGATGGAGAAAACCAGATTGTATCTCTCTGCCTGCCATGCCAATTTGATGACGAAGCACAATCATTCACATCTTGTTAAGAGAAACAGGACATGCAACTTGTCAATTGGAGAAAAAGAAATAGAAAGAAATATATGGAAAAAAATGATCTGCTGGAAAGGGGGTACACAGAATTTGTTCCAAATACTTTCCTTGATTCCCTCTGTAATAAATAAGGTAAACTAACTTTAATTTGTAGCACATATTTGTAAAAACTAAGTATGGTGAGGGAGAACTAGTATTTCTAGGTCACAATGGGCCATTACATGAATAATTAATTAAATTTAAATTAAATATATACATTAATAGAAAATACAGGAAAAAAAGGATTAGTTTAGAATTGACCTATATATTTTACTTCTTTGCACTACCCAAAGCAATTCATTTTTGTGTATATGTTTTCATTCTTGTCTTTAATAAAGAACCTCATCTAGCAGAATTGCATCTGGAAGTCTTCTGCAAGTTAAATCAACTGCTGAACACTAAATTAAGTCACAGCATTCCATGCTGTGATACGAACCTTGATAGTGTGATATGCCACATTCAACATCTATAACTATGGAACTAGATCTTTCAACAAGACACCAAGGATTAGTACTTGTAGTACTAGTAACTTTCTCTAGCATCAGAAACAAATAGTAAACCGAACAGACTAGTTAGTATAGATGTTAAGCGAGTTGGTCAAGTAGGATGGGACAGAATGTATTACAACCACCAGTCTTCATACCAGCTATTAGTATCAAGTACCAAGCAGCTACTTCAACCTCAGTCCTCTGACACTGAACACTAAACTCTTGGCCTGACAAATATAATGGAAATCCAAGCATATTTACTTCCCTTTCCATCTCAAATATACATTATTCTATTGTAGGAAGTGATTCTCTCCCAGTCAAATACATCTTACAGGCTAGTGTTGTGGAGAAAACAGGAGGAAGAAGTGCTATATATTAGACTTAGATTTAGAATAACTTTATTGTCACTTTAAATGTACACTAATTGGCATATATTAAAATGAAATTTTGTTGCATACAGCTCTCAATATATGATACATATGTGATAATATATATCATATATATGCTATATATGCTACCTCCTGGATGAAAAGTAGGATATAAATCAGATAATAAATAAAAGGATTGTTTTTTCCATCCTCTGTACAAAAGATACAATTATATAAATTTGGTTAATAATCTAAAATAGTTATTTCTGTATATAATGAGTTATTTTAGGCTGTGACTTAATGGGAAAATATACAACCACATAGTTAAATACTGATCTGCACATTTGAATACGGATAATCTGAACTAAGGTCTGTTGTCTAAAAATTCATATTGATGAAAAATTGATCTGTGATGTTTCATTTTTCCAAATCAATGCTTAATAATCTTATTTGGTTCACTTCACTCCCAATAGCAAATATACGATACATATCTAA